CAGTGAGCCTTGATCACCCCCTACTGCACTCTAGCCTGGGTAACAGAGCGAGATGCCATCTCAAAATTAATTAATTAATTAGTTCAGTACTCAAAGTTAACAATGAAATAAGGACACAAACTACTACTAAGAGGGCAAACTGGTCCGATTCTGTTGGAAAACAGGCCTTTACCAGTCATTCTACTTCGGAGAAAACAGAAAAAGGAAAGATATACCAAAAGCATGGATATCCGTTACATTGTTATTAGAAATGCACTGTGTTCAATAGTGAAAAACTACATAAATTACAACCATTAAATATCGTGTTTTCAAGATTATTTAATGCCATAAAAATTTAAATTAAGGCTGAGCACAGTGGTTCATGCCTATAATCTCAGCACTTTGGGAGGCTGAGGCAGGCAGATCACTTGAGCCCAGGAGTTCAAGACCAACCCGGGCAACACGGCAAAGCCCTGTCTCTATGAAAAAAAAAATACAAAAGTTGGCCTGGAGCCATGACACACACCTGTAGCGACTCAGGAGTCTGAGGTGAGAGGATCACTTGAGCCTGGGAGGCCAAGGCTGCAATGAGCCATCATCACACCACTTAACTCCAGCCTGAGCAAAAGAAAGAAAAGGTTTGTGAGGAAGACAGAAGCAACCAAAGTATCAGCAGATATACCTGGCCAACAGAAATAAAACATTCTATTCCTTACTTCTTTTTCTATAGTTTCAAATTTCCTACAGAAAGTGGCCGGGTGCAGTAGCTCATGTGTGTAATCCCAGCACTTTGGGAGGCCGAGGTGGGTGGATCACCTGAGGTCAGGAGTTCAAGACCAGTCTGGCCAACATGGTGAAACCCTCTCTTACAAAAATACAAAAATTAGCTGAGCATGGTGGCATGCACCTGTAATCCCGGCTACTCAGGAGGCTGAGGCAGGAGGATGGCTTGAACCCGGGAGGCAGAGGTTGCAGTGAGCTGAGATCACAGCACTGCCAACCCGGTGACAGAGCTGAAACTCTGTCTCAAAAAAAAAAGGAAAGAAAAGAAATAGGAGAAAATACTATCTTTAAAAATCCACAATTGCCAACAGTCATAATGTATGACTCCTTTTAGACTCCAAGTCCAAATTATGCTATGAATCCACCAAAATCCCAGGAACATACTTTGTATAAAAGTCAGTAAGCTAGTTATTGGCATCATTTAGGTAGGCAGCTACCAGTTTACAAGTTCAGAAAGCAGATGATATTTGAGAAGAAAAGCAAACACCCAGCAAGAAGGTGAAAAAGCAGTTTTTCCCTACAAGGTGGGCCCTGTCTCCAGGCAGCCACTTCCTGGATGGGCTCATTTCAGCTTTCTACTGGCAGTGGGAAGGGAACACAAATACTAACCTAAAAGTAGGAGGCTAAGGCACAAAATATAACTCAAGAATTTACTACAGGCCCAGTGCGGTGGTTCACGCCTGTAATCCCAGCACTTTGGGAGGCCCAGGCAGGCAGATCGCTGGAGCTCAAACTCCTGAGCTGTGGATTACAGTGTCCGTGGGGCACTGTTAGGTTAGTCTGTAGCTATGTGGCAATATGAAGCACTTTCAAGTGATAAGTAAATAGCTCAAGGGGGTGGGAAATATAAGGTGACTGCTGTGTCATTTTAATGTCTCTCTGGGCCTGATAATTTAAAAGAAGTTCGCATTCCTCAGATGATGATTATTATTATTTTCTCACTAAGAGGCCTCAGACTTTAAAATTCCTCAAACTGGCCCAAGCACAGTGGCTCACGCCTGTAATCCCAGCACTTTTGGAGGCCGAGGCGGGCAGATCACCTGAGGTCAGGAATTCAAGGCCAGCCTGGCCAAAATGGTGAAACCCCATCTCTACTAAAAATACAAAAATTAGTTGGGTGTGAGGGTGCACACCTGTAGTCCCAGCTACTCGGGATACTGGGGCAGGAGAATCGCTTGAACCCAGGAGGCAGAGGTTGCAGTGAGCAGAGATTGCACCACTGCACTCCAGCCTGGGTGACAGAGCTGAGGGACAGAGTAAGCCTCCGTCTCAAAACAAAAAAAAAAAAGAAAATAAATTTTAAAAATCAAAAACAAAGAAAAGCATAATACTATAATAATACTCCAATGAGAGGAGTAGCTAGAAGCAGTAAGCTCCTCAAATCAAGATCACCTGGAGCACGTGAACCCTCACCACCACCCACACACCCAGTGTTTCCAGTTTTACTGAATCAGTCCGGAGCGGATGCTGGAGAATCTGCATCTCTTACAATCTCCCAAGTGATGCTGATGCTGCTGCTCTGAGTACCATGCTTTGAGAACAGCTGCCCTAAAGCACAGTAAAAGTTGTTACACATGCATCATCTCCAACTGCAGGCACTTTAAGAACTTCCCTTGAGAAACTCTAGCCTGCCAGAACAGGGGGTGCCTTCTCCATGCATTTCCGACAAGCACCTGAACTGGAAGCAGCTCAGTACAGCAGCTCCAAAGAGGCTGGGGAGCCAGTCTGCCCAGCTTTGGAGCCTGCTCTGACACTTGATTGCTGTGTGAGTCCAGGCAACTTACTCAACTACTCTCAGCTTAAGTGTTCTCAGAGTAAAATAGAGGTACTAGCTCCTTCCCCTCCATCAGGGAAACCGGAAATGAACACCTACTCCAGTCATCAATGGGAAGGCATCACTTCCTATTTCCCCACCACCTAAATTTTGAAAATGTAGGGGGAGAAAATGTAAGGAGGCAGGGCTCACATCTGTAATCCTGGCACTTTGGGTGGCCAAAGCGGGAGAAACACTTGAGCCCAGGAGTTCAAGACCAGCCTGAGCAACAAATTAGAGAGCCCCATCTCTACAAAAAACTGTTTTTTAAATTATCCAGGCATGGTGACACACACCTGGAGCCCCACTACTCGGGAAGCTGAGGCAGGAGGATTGCTTCGGCCCAGGAGTTGGAGGCTGCAGCAAGCTACAAATGTGTCACTGCACTCCAGCCTGGGTCACAGCTTGCACAAAGCAAGATCCTGTCTCAAAAAAAAAAAAAAAAAAAAAGTTCCTTGCCCTGCCTGAAGTTGAGGAGACCATTTGTCTACTTCAAGTTATTATTTACAGAAACCACACCCATATTCCTTCCTCCTCCACGCGCCTCTCGCCTCTCTCAAGAGAAAGGCCGCCACATAACCCAGAGGGTCCTACACTCACTGAGTGTATCACAATCGAAACAAGAGTAAGCGACCCATCCTCTTGGAATCCCCAGGTCAAGCTTGTCCAATCTGAGGCCCGTGGGCTGCATGTGGCCCAACACAAATTCGTAAGATTTCTTAAAACATCATGAGATTTGTTTGAGATTTTTTTTTTTTTTTTAGCTCATCAGCTGTCATTAGTGTTAGGATATCATTAGTGTTAGTGTATCTTATATATGGCCCAAGACAATTCTTCCAGTGTGGCCCAGGGAACCCAAAAGATTGGAGACCCCCACCCTAGGCTGTCCCATAATAAAAAGCAATATCAACATGTGAGAAAGATGAGGCAGCAGAAGTCAAGAAACAGAAGATCTAATAATCAACCAAGTGAGACTGAAGCCCTTCAAAGGTTCAGGCTTATGTAGTTAGCAGATGGAATTCCCGCCCCTCAAGACAGAGTCTCACTCTGTCACCCAGGCTGGAGTGCAGTGGCGCAACCTCAGCTCACTGCAACCTCCACTTTCTGAGCTCAAGCAATTCTCCTACCTCAGCCTCCCTAGTAGCTGGGATTACAGGCGTGCTCTACCTCACCCAGCTAATTTTTGTATTTTTAGTAGAGACAGGGTCTCACTATGTTGGCCAGGCTGGTCTCGAACTCCTGACCTCGTGATCCACCCGCCTCTGCCCCTCAAAGTGCTGGGATACAGGCGTGAGCCACTGCGCCAGGCCAAGATGGAAGTTTCAGGTACAGCTATCACCTGAGTCTTTCTCCACCTGTTTCCTTGCAGAAAATGGGTAGGGCTGTGGGCCCTCCCAGCTCAGGAGCCCTGGAGTGGTTTTAAGATGCTAGAACTCCTGGTAGGAACCACCTGCGTCAAGACCATGGATCACCTCTCTGAAGGTTAGCGATTCCAGGGACCCCAGCCCGGCGCAGTCCTCCTAGGTGGAAGTGAAAATACTGGAAACAGGGAAAGAAGTTGGTCAAAGACAGACTCCAGTCTTGGCGGTGTATGTCCCAGTTAAAAGCAAAACTTGGAAAATCTTGTTCAGTAACAGTGTCCTCATTCATAAATAAAAAATAATAGTGTTTTTTATCCACATGAAACTTGCCATAACTAGGTACCACGACCCACATGGACACACAGATTCACACAGAGAGACAGGAGAGCCCTGGTCACTGAGACAAACGATACAGAGACATCGGGACACAGAGAGACACAACGGAACGGGACGTGGAGTTGGATCCAGCTGTCTCGTAAGGAATATCGGAAGGGGTGGGGGACACTATTGGGAGATGGCATAGGTCCAGGACACTAATTAGGCTTTGACTGAGATTAGATAAAGGAAGCTGTTCGTAAGCTGCTTACTTAAAAAGAAAGGAAAAGGTGCGTTTGAGTTCAGGAGACTGTGAGTCTCGGAGCAGGAGGTGGCAGCCAGCGAAGGGTGGGCGTGTAATGGGTGCAGTCGCTTCTCCCGCTGGGCAAGAGACTCCCCCTTTCGGCAGCCTGGGTTCCCCGCCTCCTCACCTCCCGCTCCTCCTCCCCGGAGCCCTAAGGGCCCGCAGGGCCTCCAGCAGCAAAGCCGCTGGCCCCGCGCCACCAGCGCCGGGTCCACGCGTCCCCGCGTCCCCCTGCCCCGCGCACAGGGGCGCAGGCGGGGACCACGCGGCCGGCGTGGGGCGGCGCCACCGCAGCAGAAAGCCCGGCGTGGACCGCGTGGCACAGGAAAGCGCTCCCCTCGCCCCCAGCCGCAGAAGGCTGGGGCAGCATCGAGCGCGGCCCCGGGAGAGCGCGTCAGCGGGGCCAACGGCTGCAGGGTGACCTGTTTCGGGCGGGGACACTCACCAGAAGAACACACGCGAGCAGAGGTTCGCGCCCTGCAGCGGGTTGGGCTTCACCTCCTGGTACACTGGCAGCATCTTGCCGGGCGTGGGGGGCGCGGGCCGGGGTCGCGCTGATCAGGCGGCGGTGGCCGCGGGCTCCCCTCCTGGACCGTGAGCAGAGATGCTGGAGCTCCCGCCGCCTCGCCGGTCCGCTCGGCAGGAGCCTGTGAAGCAGCCGTTTCCGGGAGCCGGGCGCCGGCGGCACGCCCAGTCCCCGCCTCTCAGGCCCGCCGCTACCAGGGCCGCCTCGGGGGCGCCCGTTACGCGCAGCCGCCTGGAGCCCGGGAGCCGCGCACCGCGTGCGAGCTCGGCCGGGACCGACGGGTGACGCGGCGGGAGGAGACGCGGCGAGAGGAGGCGAAGCTGGCGACGCCAAAGGGAGCCCAGAGCCACGCCCAGGGGTGAGGCGAGGGCCGCCCGCGCGGCTGGATGGAGAGGGTAGCCGAGCGCGCGGCGCGGAGCCCGGGTCCTGAGGTGCCCACGTGCTCGCACCCGAGTGAAACTTCCCGAAATTCACTATCCGAGTCTTGGCGCCGACACAGAAGGTGGAGCAGGGAGGCGTCGGCTGTGCCCGCCCCTGCGACGCAGAAACGCCCCCTCGGGCACGGATTTGGGGAGACTGGGAGACAGCTGTCTCGTGCTCCACCAGACCGCCCCCTGGGCGCCTTGCCCTTCTCAGGACCAAAGGCGGGTGCCATGGGAGGCTCTCCAACCTGTGAGCCAAACATTTGACCTCGGACGACAGCAAAGTTTAGCACAGATTATCCTTGTAGAGCTGCAAGACCTCAAGAAGCCGGGTAACTCGAGAGTAGGACCCAGATGAATTTGGGAGATGGATGAATGCTGTCATAGATGGGGCGGGCTTTCGGCATCTCACACGCTGCGTGTACGGTGGACCTCTGAGCTTTTTGCTGCCCTCTTAGATTGGGAAAGGAATGTAAGAGGAAGGAGAGACTGCCTTCTGATTTCTGTCATCAAGCCCTAAAGCCTAACAGATAACAGTGGCAAACGACACATGTGTTCCAGAAGACCAATTATGTTTATGTGCATTTCTGAGTGCGTAGTCTCACGTGTGTGTGTGTGTGTGTGTGTGGCAGTCTCACACACAGTGACTCGATTATGGCTCATTGCACCCTGGACCTCCCAGGGCTCAAACAATCCTCCCAACTCAGCCTAAGTAGCTAGGACTACAGGCACCCGCCACCACGCCTAGCTAATATTTTGTAATTTTTGTAGAGATGCAAAAATCAAAATCAAAGGCTCTAAGTTCAAATATTGATAATTTTTGAAGCCAAATGATGTGTCATGGGAGTTTATTTTCTTCATATTTCATGCATGTTTGAGAATTTGGTTTTCTTTGTAACAAGATCATTTTATTGTTCCTTGATAATTTATCATTTTGTTGCCCAGGCTGGTCTCAAACTCCTAGACTCAAGTGATCCTCCTACCGTGGCCTCCCAAAGTGCTAGGATTACAGACATGTACCACCACACCCGACCAATTATCTCACTTTTAATTCTATCAGTGCCGCATTCAAGGTTATTCTTATTTTATAGATGAGGAAGGTGAAGCTGAAAGGCAGAACTTGTCCAGGGAAGGATTAAACATGATTTACATTAAGCCTGTGCCTAAGCATGGCCAATCTCCCTGGTGGATGACCAGTGTGCATGAGAAGTGGCCAGAATATGCTAGTTGAACGGCTGTAGGAATGAATGAACAAAATCTTGTTCCAAGCTTTTGGACTCCCACTTCTAAGTCTTCAGTTCTGTGGCTACCTTACCAAGATCAGCAGCTGCTCTTCATTTCCACCCTGAATGAAAAAAAATAAAGACTCCAAGTTTATGGTGCTTGGAACAAGATCATTTTATTGTTCCTTGATAATTTTGCATGTATATTTGCTAAGATAGTATCATTAATAGCTTTTAAAGAAAGCCTTACACAAACACGTATTTAAAAGTCAAGCACAGGCTGGCCAACAAAGTGAGACCCTGTCTCTACCAAAAAATTTAAAAATTAGCCATGCCCTTGTAGTCCCAGCTACTTGGGAGGCTGAGACAGGAGGATGGCTTTAGCCCAGGAGTTCCAGGCTACAGGGAGTTAAGAAGGTGCCACCGGGCTGGGTACGATGGCTCACACCTGTAATCCTAGCACTTTGGGAGGCCGAGGCGGGTGGATCACCTGAGGTCAGGAGTTTGAGACCAGCCTGGCCAACATGGTGAAACCCCGTCTCTACTAAAAATACAAAAAATTATCTGGGCTTGGTGGTGGATGCCTGTAATCCTATCTACTCGGGAACCTGAGGCAGAAGAATCACTTGGACCCAGGAGGCGGAGGTTGCAGTGCGCTGAGATCATGCCACTGCTTTCCAGCCGGGGCAACAAGAGCAAAACTCCATCTCAAAAAAAAAAAAAGGTTGCAGCGCGCTTGAGATCATGCCACTGCTTTCAGCCGGGCAACAAGAGCAAAACTCCATCTCAAAAAAAAAAAAAAAAAAAAAAAAGGTGCCACTGCACTCTGTGGCCAGCACACCCATAACTTAGCACTTTGAGAGGTGGGAGACAAGAATTGCTTTAGCCCAGGAGTTCTAGACCAGCCTGGGCAGCATAGGGAGACTCGATCTCTACTAAAACAAAAAATTAGATGGGCATGTGGAGTAGTCTGTAGTCCCAGCTACCCGAGGCTCAGGTGGAAAAAAAAAAAAAAAAAAAAAAAAAAAAAAGGTGCCACTGCACTCTAGGCTGTGCACACCCATAATCCTAGCACTTTGAGAGGTGGAGACAAGAGGATTGCTTTAGCCCAGGAGTTCTAGACCAGCCTGGGCAGCATAGGGAGACCTCATCTCTACTAAAAATGTAAAAATTAGATGGGCATGGTGGAGTAAGTCTGTAGTCCCAGCTACCCTGGAGGCTCAGGTGGGAGGATTGCTTGAGCTCAGGAGTTCTAGATCAGCCTGGGCAACATAGGGAGACCTCATCTCTACTAAAAATGTAAAAATATGATGGGTGTGGTTGCGTGAGTCTGTAGTCCCAGCTGGAGGTTCAGGTGGGAGGATTGCTTGACCCCAGGAGTTGGAGGCTGCAGTAGGCTATGATCACGCCACTGCCCTACAGCCTGGGCTAAAGAGTGAGACTCTGTCTCCAAAAAAAAAAAAAAAAAAAAAAAAAGTCAAGCACATAAGAATGGCAAAATATTGATAATTTTTGAAGCCAAATGATGTGTCATGGGGGTTTATTTTCTTCATATTTCATGAATGTTTGAGAATTTGGTTTTCATTTTGGAGATGGGGTCTCACTATGTTGCCCAGGCTGGACTCAAACTCCTGGGCCCAAGGAATCCTCCTGGCTCAGCCCCTCCAAGTACCTGGGATTGTAGGCACTCACCAGCATACCAGCTCATGTTTCAGAATTTCTGTCACAAAAAGGAACACAATATTTTAAGTTGACTACTGTGGGAAAGCTATGATCATTCAATAACCTACCTTTCTGATAGCTCTTTCTCAGATAATGCAAGCTATAAACCAAAATAGTTCAGTCTTCACCTGATTTACAGTGCCCTTTGAAACTCTCTAAGCTTTCTAGCCCAGTAAATGCTGAGCTACCAGTTCTACTTCCAAGCTAGAGAACCTGTTTGCTAAAGTTAGAAGTCTAGTGACTTCCCTTGTCAGACTGCCCCAGAATGCTCTCCCTACCCTCACAACTGTGTAAGACCCATAATTAGCCATCTCCAAACTGCCAAAGTACTCAGTCCCTTCGGCTCCTGCAGAGGTTTATTTTTTCTTAATTAAGATCTTTTGGAACTTCTTAACATTCTTTTCTGAACATTAACAATGTGGTGTTTGGAAGCGATACTGTACAGCAGTGTCTGACTGCAGAGCGGACTGGATATGGAACCAGGGGACCAGGGCTTTATATCTTTTCACTTGTTACCTAACCTTTCTGACCCTTATTTTCCTGGGGTCTAAAATGGAGTCAGGGGCGGGTGCAGTGGCTCATGCCTGTAATCCCAGCACTTTGGGAGGCGGAGGCGGGCGGATCACCTGAGGTCAGGAGTTAGAAACCAGCCTCGCCAACATGGCAAAACCCCGTCTCTACTAAAAATACAAAAACTAGCTGGGTGTGATGGCACGTGCCTGTAATCCCAACTACTCAGGAGACTGAGGCAGGAGAATTGCTTGAACCTGGGCTGCAGAGGTTACAGTGAGCTATGAGCGAAGAGCAGCTGCTGCACTCCAGCCTAGGTGACAGAGCTAGACTCTCATAAAAAAATAAATAAATAAATAAAATGGGGTCAGGCAGGGCATGGTAGCTCACACCTGTAATTTTAACATTTTGGGAGCCCAAGGCAGGAGCATCACTTAAAGCCAGGAGTTTGAAACCAGCCTGGGCAATGTGATGAAATGCCATCTCTACCAAAAAAAAAAAAATTTAAAAATTTTTTAAATTAGTCAGGCATGGTGGCACACACCTGTGGTCCTAGCTACTCGAGAGGGTAAGATGGGAGGATCACTTGAGCCTAGGAGTTTGAGGCTGCGGTGAACTCTGATCGCACCACTGCACTCCAGCCTGGGAGACAGAGTGAGAGACCCTATCTCTAAAAACATAAAAATAAATTTAAAAACAAAATAGGGATCAGAATCCCCACTCTTCCTTCTTCACAGGATTATTGTGAGTCCCACAACTTGTGAATACATTGTGAAGGCAATATACAAATTAAAGGATGGGGATTTTTTCTCATTCATTCAATAAATATTTAGTGGATGCCCTCTGGATACATGATAGCTAGGCCAGGGAATCAGCCTGCAAAGATGAGGAAGATGTCTTTTTTGTTTGTTTGTTTGTTTGTTTGTTTGTTTTTGAAATAAGGTCTAGCTCTCGCCCAAGCTGGAGTGCAGTGGTGCAGTCTTGGCTCACTACAACCTCCCAGGCTCAAACCCATCCTCCCATCTCAGCCTCCCTAGTAGTTGGGACTACAAGCACGCACCACCATGCCCAGCTAATTTTTGTATTTTTTTTGGTTGGGGGGGGGGGGGTTTGCTGTGTTGCCCAGGCTGGTCTCGAATTCCTGAGCTCAAGCAATCTGCCAGCCTCAGCCTCCTACAGTGCTGGGATAACAGGTGAGAGCCACTGCACCCAGCCTAAAGATGTCTTAAGAATGATTTGTCAAAGGAAAAAATATTAGGCCCACTTCAAGCTGGGAACTGCTCAGGGCAAGTCTGCCTCCCATTCTATTCAAAGTCAGCCCTCTGCTCACAGAGACAGATGCATATTCTGATTGCCTTATTTGGAGAGACTAACCAGAAACTCAAAAGAATGCAACCATTTGGCTGGGCGCTGTGGCTCAGGCCTGTAATCCCAGCACTTTGGGAGGCTGAGAGGGGTGGATCACCTGAGGTCAGGAGTTTGAGTCCAGTCTGGCCACCATGGTGAAACCCCATCTCTACTAAAAATACAAAAATTACCCAGGCATGGTGGCGGGTCCCTGTAATCCCAGCTACTTGGGAGCCTGAGGCAGGAGAATATCTTGATTCTGGTAGAGTTTGCAGTGAGCTGAGATCGCACCATCGCACTCAAGTCTGAGCAACAAGAGCGAAACTCCGTCTCAAAAAAAAAAAAAAATCGTGAATAACTTGGCCAGGCATGGTGGCTCACCCCTATAATCCTAGCACTTTGGGAAGCTGTGGTAGGAGGATTGGTTGAGCCCAGGAGTTCGAGGCCCAGCCTGGACAACAAAGTGAAAACCCATCTCTACCAAAAGAATTAATAAAGTTAGCTGGGCATAGTGGTGGAGTCCCAGCTACTTGGGAGGCTGAAGCAGGAGGATCACTTGAGCCCAGGAGGTCAGGGTTGTAGTGAGCTGTGATTATGCCACTGCACTGCAGCCTGGGTGACAGAGTGAGAACTTGTCTTAAAAAAAAAAAAAAAAGGAAAAAAGAAAAAAATACCAATGGATAACTTGTTTTAAGGAGGGATGAGAAGATGTGGAAGATAAAGCCTGCAGTGGCAGACCATCCACATCAATTTTCATGGAAAAAAATCATCTTGTTTGTGCCCTAATTGAAGAAAACCAACAATTAACAGCAGCCAACACCATATTAACAATAGCAAACACCACAGACATCTCAATTGGTTCAGCTTACACAGCTCTGACTGAAAAATAAAAGTTGAGCAAACTTTTCACTCAATAGGTGTCAAAACTGCTGTGCCCAGATTAGCTACAGAGAAGAGCAGAACTTTCAGTGGAAGTTTTAAACAAGTGAGATGGAGACCCTGCAGTATTTTTTTCAAAGAACTGTAACAGGAGATGAAGCATGGCTTTACCAGTATGATCCTGAAGACAAAGCACAATCAAAGCAATGGCTACTGAGAGGTGGAAGTGGTCCAGTCGCAGCACAAACAGACCAGTCAAGAGCAAGGGTCACACAACAGTTTTCTGAAATGCTTAAGACATTTTGCTTGTTGATGTTCTAGGGGGGCAAAGAATGATAACATCTGCTTGCTATGAGAGTGTTTTAAGAAAATTAGGCAAAGGTTTAGCAGAAAAATGCCTGGGAAAGCTTCACCAGAGTCCTTCTCCACCACAACAGTGTTCCTGCTCATTCCTCTCATCAAACCAGGGCAATTTCCCAAGCGTTTCAATGGAAAATCACTAGTATTTACATTACAGTTCTGATTTAATGCCTTCTGACTTCTTTTTGCTTCCTAATCTTAAAATATATTTAAAGGGCATGCATTTTTCTTTAGTTATTACTGTTAATACTGTATGGTTGAATTCCCAGGACTCTCA